AATAAAATAAAAAGACAATAATAATAATGATAATTATTACAACAGCTCTGTTAATACATTTATTATAACATTCACACATAGTGTTCAAATTGGGATCTGTAATATTTTCTAATGTTTATAATGCTTCTGCTCAGCAAGCCTGCTTTTATTTGTATAGTAAAAAATATGCCTGATTCAAGAAGGGGGTCTGATGGCCAAAAAAATATTTTACTAACTTTTTAATTTTAAGTTAAATTGTGCTTTGTTGGTATAATGTCTGCTAGAATGTAAAAAATGTTCAGTGTTAAATATTTTTAAATTGTTGTTTTGTAATTGATTGTTTTCTTTGAAAAGCAAGACAAAACAGTAAAAAGCACATTTTGGATATTTAATTTATGCAATAGTGAAAAAAAATTGGCAAAATACATGGGGAAAAAAACTTGAAAAACCGTGTTCGGCCTTCGGCCCAGTGTTTCATTTTGTTCGGTTTCGGCTTTGGCCAAGAATTTTCATTTCGGTGCATACCTATCCAAGACCAAATACATTAACATTGTCATGTACATTACCATGCCAATCCCTCCGAGAGTTGTCATGACAGAAATTATGCTTTAGCAGTGCAATCACTGAACACTGCCTCCTTATCTCTTACTGCTTCCTTCTTGGAGATACAGACATTGGATTTTCATTTGGATCAACTTACTTCTTGACATAGGAAATAGTCACGGTGTCCGAAAAACAGATATGACAAGATACTGAGGCTTTAGATTTTTCAGTGAACTGTATAAGGATCATTAGCGTCAGAAGGATTTTTATCACTTTTAATATAGTTATATATTTTAATATCAGAGAGATGTAATAACTGAAATAATGTCTTAAAATAAAATACAAATAAAAGTAATTTGACAGAAAAATTTTACTTGTGCATTACCTTCAATTCTGTACTGAATTTACTGAATTTCAGGACAATTACAGTACAAATACAATCCTTAAGGTTAGATAAGGTACAAAAGTGTGCATTTTCATTGTTCCTTTTAACAATGACAATAAAGATCTATTCAGTTATTCTTTATTCTGTTATTTCTATTATTTGAAGGTACTGCCCCGGTGGCAGTCTGTTGTACCTACAAAGGTACAGTTTTTGCAAAAAAAATTCTGACAGCCCCATTAGATGGTTGATGAATTACAGCAGAGGCTAGGGCATATCCAGCCAGTTCAGCATGGTGACCACAGAATATCGTGATGACGAATGGCAGTAGGAAATTTAGGATCCTGGGCCCTCATTTATCAACAGTGAGTAGAAAATGTTCTATATTTAGTCCTACGAATGAAATTTAGAATGTGCCTAAGTAGCTACAAGAAAATCCGTATTTATCAAACGTGCGCACGAAGTTCTTACGCACATGGATTTACACACATTTCTACGTATAAGTACAAGTTGGTAGATCCCACACTTTGCGTGAAATTTGCACTCATTATGCACACATCTGTGCTTACGCACTGTTGATAAATGAGGCCCCTGGAGATGAGCTGTGGAAGATGAAAATTTGGACATCAACAGGGAACATGAACATACAAAACACACACACACAGACAGCTGTTCACAGATCTGCATCCCATGTAAGAATCCTACAAAAGACTCCAGACTATGTCCATCAAAAACATGATGTATAATATATTAGTATACTGTATATTACATTGTAATAAACAAATTTAATGTGTGTGTTTTTAAAATGTATGAAATAAATACAAAAATAAATTTCATATACAGGGAAAAATAATACTACTTTTAAAATAAATACCAAAAATGAATCTATATTATGTGTTGTATATGTGTGGGTTTATGTTTTATATGTGGGTATATTTTTTAATTGGTTAAATTTTTTATTGGAGTACAAAGAAACCTAACCTAAGATGAAATCATCAATCATAAAATAACTCCAACATCAATTTAAGTTACAGGCATGGGTCAAAACCAAACATGCACCCCAGAACCATGTCATCTGGCAAAGCTCTTGTATTTAAAGTTTAAAGTGAGTTGCAGCACTTTTGGAGTACACAAGAGAGAGACGGAACAAAAAGAGGACTCACCAGGGGCCCGGACAGGCGCAGGACGTGGTAGAGCTCCTCTCTGTAGGCCAGGGCAACCCAGCGACGCACACAGCTGCAGCGGAAGAGTTTAGAACTAGGTGCTGTTGCCTCGGTGATTTGTTAATTGCTTGCCAGGGGCCCGCAAGCCTCAGGCATCCCAGCTTTATCCATTCAGCCGTTGAGTGCAAGAAAACAAGAGAAGAGGATGAGGAGAGAGTGGGACAGAGAAAATAATATGAGCAATATAGGAATGAGACCGCTTCTCTCCAGCAGTGATGTTTCCAAAAATGTTGTTATCAGTCCACGGAGGCAGAAACAATCAAATCAAATAGTGCTGAGACAGTGAATAAGTAACCTGCTGCCTTCAGTCACCGAGGGAGACCAAGAGAGGCAGGTCACAAGCAAGCTCTTTATAATTGCCCATTATGGAGGACAGCAGCTCTGAGAAGGTTAAGGGGAGGGTTAGCCTTTCGTACTTCTTAAATGCAGCGGTAATCTTATCAGGAATGCCTGTGTTAAATAACAGATTGCTGCTCCTTTGAGGAACCTATGCTAGAGCATTTGCTTTCTAAGTTGTCAATTTATGTATGCAGCATAATGAGCAGGAAAAGCTTTATGATCCCTAAAGAGGCCTTTAACCTTAAGTGAAAGTTAAGTGACGTATATACTTGCTGAACCACGTCTAGACTGTTTAGGTTTGAATCTCTTTGACCCGTGCAAAGAGAAAAATGTGTTTTAATGTTTGGCAAACTGACCTAAATTATTCAGATCACCTAAATGTCACCATTTGTAATATACTGGCATATTACCTCTTGGTAGCTTTCCATGGATCTCAAGCACTAGCAGTCATCTTTGGCATAATACACACAACCTTTGGTCATTAACTTGCCCGTTCAGTTAAACAGTAATGCTTAACCTCAGTCAACCTAAATCTTGCACAACCAGTGCTGGTCATTTAATAAATGAGACTTTTATAACTAGTCAAAAAAGTGTTAAAATATTATTGCAACTACATTTTTTGTTGTTGAACAATGATTCAAAATGTAATAAGAAATAGCACCGCTTTAAGAATTTTTGAAAAAGAAAGAAAGAAAACGAAAAAGAAAAAAATGTTAAATGAATAAGAAATATTGAATATTCTGCACTATTTAAAAAAAAAGTTAGGATTTGTAAGTTTTAAGTCATGTAATGTACAGTATGTGTGTATATCTATATGGGTAGCAAATTAGAACAACCTTTAGCCTTTCCTTGCAAGTTATCCATGTCTTATCTGATATGCAGTAAGAAATGCTGAAGATTGAAAGGTGGAATGGTAGGGGAATAAAAGGAATGAAAGGTATGCACTAGCATGCAATAAAACAGTGTATCTTCTCTTAGACATGCATGCCACATACAGTATGCACAAATGCATGCATACAGTTAATTGTGTATAGTATGAACATGGACATGAATGCACTCACATTTTTAAACAAAGACTGTCAACTCTGTTTTTATGGATGTGTAATAATGTCTTTTCACACAAGTTTTCAAATTTTTTTCTCCAAATGTTAATTCATCAACCTTTTGAGGTTCATTCACTAACTGCCTTCTTCAGTGCATATTGCCCCGTTCAAAGATACAGTTTTATGTTATGACAAAAAGACAAAGGTTCATGACAGCAATGACTCTTAAAGAATGATTACTGTTAGTTATGATGTTTCTGTTCTGTTTCAGCCATAATCAACAAATAAAAAAAAAAAAGATGAACAAATACACACAGTGGGAAAATATACTAATAAATATGACAATCAAAAAGTTAATTTTAAACTGTATTGAAGAGTTAAAAAAAACAATCTTGTAAAGCTTTAGTGCACATGTGTTTTTATTTATGTATTTATTTATTTTTGTTCTTGTATAAACCTGTGATATCTGTAAATGTTCGCTACAATTTGACTTTGATCATTAACATCATTAGCTCACAGTGGTCAAACTGGGCCCCCTGGTGGATAATAATTTAGACCATATTATGTAAACCACATAATACATCTTTTGTTTTAAAATTGGGGCGAAACATGTACAACATGCACTAGAAAACATAATTGTTACATAATTTCGTAACAACTATTAGATCAGTTTCAACCATCAGGTTGATAACAGCTATACCATTATATGCAGTACAGTATGTTCCTTAAATATAGAACAGATATCAAACACTAAAGGAATGCATGATTCATTCTGGGTTGGGACATGTATTTTTATATTTAATGCTTTTAGCATTGACACAAAATAGAACATTAAATTTCTCTTATCGCATTTTTTTTTATGGCTGTGAGACTATATCTTTATAGGAGTTCTCTCTTTTCATCCTTCCCATTCCACCTGGAGAGATTAAGATGACACTTAAAAGCCATTCAGCCTATTTTTGCACAACACTAAAAGGTCTGTGACCGTGAGGGGAGGTGATTTCCTGTTAAGTGCTGTAGCAATAAAATATTGGTATCGGTACTCGGTATCGGCAAGTACCAAAAATAAAAGTATCGGTATCGGGCGAGTACTGGAAAAAAGTGGTATCGGTGCATCCCTAATTAAAACCATAAAAAATTTTACTTGAAATAAAATACATGTTTAATTTAAATAAAATAAAATATTAACAACTTTTTTCAACATTTGTTATTTTAAATTTAGTTTACTTTGATGTACAAAATACAACTAAAAGAAAAATTATACATACATACACACATATACGATATATATATATATATATATATATATATATATAATATATATACACACACACACAGTGAAAGTCAATAGGATCCAGTGTGACTTAAGTTTAAAGCTATTTTCTTAAGTATTTCTGGCAAAATATGAATTCATTTGAAGAAAATTTCCATAAAACATTCCACAAATCAGACTTTTCATAAATTTTTCCAGACTTTTTTTTATATGTCTTTTTGTCATTCGGGATATCCGGCAGATGTACAAAGATGAAAGTATTGCTTGGCGTTTCTCTGCTCCTGCTGTGCTTTGTCAGTCGCGTAAAAGGTAATGTATAACTACATGTTTTTAAAGTGTGATGCTTCCAAGCAGATCCAAATACTGCCTGTTCTAACATTTAACCAAATGTTGTTCAGTATATCAAATCAGAAAGAGTGATTTAACCTGTATTAACCTGAGTATTAACCTGCATGATAGGACATGTACAGAGTATTAACCTGTACTGCAACAATTTTGGTTTGTTATGCCTGAATGAACTGCTCGATAGTTAATTTTCTCTAAACAGCAGTCACCGTTGAGTCATGTCCACTGGCCACCGGAAGCTTGCTTCGGACGGAGGTTGAGAAAACGGTCACTCTGACTTGTATGACTGATGAAGGTATCGACCCATCCAACCAAAAAGAATTGCAGTGGTTCCGCAATGGTGCCCGGGTGAACCTGGCAGAAGAAAACCGCCTGTACCGGAGTAGTCTTTGTGTACAGCCTGTCACTAAAGAGGACAACGGAGTTGTCTTTACCTGTCAGTTGAAGGGTGATGCAACTGTGAACAGCTCCATCGAGTTTGACGTCCAGTGTAAGTTTAACGTTCAGAATACTTGGGGGAATATGAGAAAACAAAAATATTTTGAATGGTGAACTGGCAGGTTTGGGATCCATTCATTTCTGTTCAACAGTTTCAGAATGAACTCCACGAGGAATCTATTTTCATTAAATGTACACTGTTGATTAAGTTAAGGAATCCAAAGTTATATCCATTTTTACAACTTCATTGCCATGACAATGGGCCTCCATAACCCTAAAACCCTAAACAGTTTTACAGTTTAAACAATAAAACGTTTTAATTGAATTACTAATGTAAGTGTTTTAAATGGACTGTAAAACTTTTATTGGGCCTTGGATTGGAACTTGCATTGAATCTGGAATATTCCTCAAAAATAAACTGGAATGAAATTGAGCCACTCATGAATATGCTGCTGCAATATGTAAGTGACTTGTGAAAAAATGTTGGGTTTTCTACTTTGGATGTTGGTAAAACTAAATAGTTCGCAGAATTGCCCAGCACTGTTTTATATCAGCCTATTTTTGCACAACACTAAAAGGTCTGTGACCGTGAGGGGAGGTGATTTCCTGTTAAGTGCTGTAGAGCAACATAATATAAAGCATTGGTTTGAAGACACAAGCCTCTCCAGACTTCATGCAACTTTTGGATTTGGCATTTTCCAGAGAACTGTCGCAAAAAGCTTAGGTGAGTAAACGGTCATGAAAAGGGGCTCTGAAATTCTGAGAACGCAATTAACATTTCATATATTCTGTTAATAAAATCAAATGATTCAAGAATTTTGCAACTGCCAGAAATTATTAAAAGGTTGGGTTTTCTACTTTGGATGTTGGTAAAACTAAATAGTTCGCAGAATTGCCCAGCACTGTTTTATAAGCTTTGAATGCCATTATATTACAGATCCCCCAGACCTTAATGACACTAAGGAAGTATTTGTTGAAGAAACAAGTGATGTTGTTCTGTCCTGTGATGTCCGTGCCAACCCCCCTGTAATTGTGACTTGGAAAAAGGATGGTGAAGTTCTGGATCTGATCTCTGGTAGTTACAAAACAACCAATAACGGCATTACCGCTCTGTTATTAATCACAAAAGCTAAGCGCGATGTACATCAAGGAACGTACATCTGCGAAGTAAACTCATCTGTCTATGGAATTATGGGCAGGACCTTTATCGTTATGGTTGAAGGTTTGTGGTCCTGATTTATCTTTATTTGTACTTTGACTTTTTGTACCCTGTTTTATGTGAAATTTATAAATTGTTCTTTTCGCTTAGATAAAGTGCTAAGGTTCCCTCTAGGACCCACAATTGCTGGAGTGGTGGTGGTTTTATGTACAATTGTATTTGCAATTATCTCTAGGAGGAATACAATTATTAAGGTATGTCAGCTTTTTGATTATCACCATGATTAAAAAAATAAAGACAACGGTCCTGTTTAAAATCTACACTCTCAGAAGATTTTTTTTTCTCTAAAACTATTGGAAACAATTAAAAAGGCTTTGTCTTTTTGGTGTCCTATAGTGCATCAAACCAAATTGAACATCTTCACATGGAATTGCATCTCAGGAATTCAAACCACAGCTATTTGAGATATTGAGCATTGAGAAGATCAGACTGGAATGCAAGTAACCATTACTGGACTGGCAAATGGGACACCACTCCTAAATATAAATTAGTAATTCAAAAACAAACATCTCCTTTCATTCCTGCTTAGCCCCTTTGTTTTATTATTGTTAAATTATAAAGTGAAAAGATGTGTTAAATAACTCTTTATACTTTTTTTTTTTTAGATGATTTCCTTGTGTGTTTCTCCTCAGATTCCAATGTTATTGAGCAATTGCACTAAAAAGGCATTATACTTCTCTGAGCCTGCAAAGACACTCCTAGATTGATGGCTGTTTGTTAGGGACACAGTAAAATAATCTCTTTAAAGTGAATTGCAAGATTTTACGTTCTCATGGACAAGATTTTTATTGTATAAATTGGCCTGTTAAATGTAGAAGTTATTAACCTTTAACCATCCACTCATGTCATATATGTGACCCTGGACCACAAAACCAGTCGTAAGTCGCACAGGTATATTTGTAGCAATAGCCAGCAATAGGCTACATTGTATGCCTATGGGTCAAAATGATCTTTTTTTTTTTCTTTTATGCCAAAAATCATTAGGATATTAAGTAAAGATCATGTTCCATAAAATATATTTTGTAAATTATCAAAAATGTATTATAATTAGTAATATGCGTTGCGAATGACTTCATTTGGACAACTTTAAAGGCAATTTTCTCAATATTTTGATTTTTTTTTTTCCTCAAAAATAAACTGGAATGAAATTGAGCCACTCATGAATATGCTGCTGCAATATGTAAGTGACTTGTGAAAAAATGTTGGGTTTTCTACTTTGGATGTTGGTAAAACTAAATAGTTCGCAGAATTGCCCAGCACTGTTTTATAAGCTTTGAATGCCATTATATTACAGATCCCCCAGACCTTAATGACACTAAGGAAGTATTTGTTGAAGAAACAAGTGATGTTGTTCTGTCCTGTGATGTCCGTGCCAACCCCCCTGTAATTGTGACTTGGAAAAAGGATGGTGAAGTTCTGGATCTGATCTCTGGTAGTTACAAAACAACCAATAACGGCATTACCGCTCTGTTATTAATCACAAAAGCTAAGCGCGATGTACATCAAGGAACGTACATCTGCGAAGTAAACTCATCTGTCTATGGAATTATGGGCAGGACCTTTATCGTTATGGTTGAAGGTTTGTGGTCCTGATTTATCTTTATTTGTACTTTGACTTTTTGTACCCTGTTTTATGTGAAATTTATAAATTGTTCTTTTCGCTTAGATAAAGTGCTAAGGTTCCCTCTAGGACCCACAATTGCTGGAGTGGTGGTGGTTTTATGTACAATTGTATTTGCAATTATCTCTAGGAGGAATACAATTATTAAGGTATGTCAGCTTTTTGATTATCACCATGATTAAAAAAATAAAGACAACGGTCCTGTTTAAAATCTACACTCTCAGAAGATTTTTTTTTCTCTAAAACTATTGGAAACAATTAAAAAGGCTTTGTCTTTTTGGTGTCCTATAGTGCATCAAACCAAATTGAACATCTTCACATGGAATTGCATCTCAGGAATTCAAACCACAGCTATTTGAGATATTGAGCATTGAGAAGATCAGACTGGAATGCAAGTAACCATTACTGGACTGGCAAATGGGACACCACTCCTAAATATAAATTAGTAATTCAAAAACAAACATCTCCTTTCATTCCTGCTTAGCCCCTTTGTTTTATTATTGTTAAATTATAAAGTGAAAAGATGTGTTAAATAACTCTTTATACTTTTTTTTTTTTAGATGATTTCCTTGTGTGTTTCTCCTCAGATTCCAATGTTATTGAGCAATTGCACTAAAAAGGCATTATACTTCTCTGAGCCTGCAAAGACACTCCTAGATTGATGGCTGTTTGTTAGGGACACAGTAAAATAATCTCTTTAAAGTGAATTGCAAGATTTTACGTTCTCATGGACAAGATTTTTATTGTATAAATTGGCCTGTTAAATGTAGAAGTTATTAACCTTTAACCATCCACTCATGTCATATATGTGACCCTGGACCACAAAACCAGTCGTAAGTCGCACAGGTATATTTGTAGCAATAGCCAGCAATAGGCTACATTGTATGCCTATGGGTCAAAATGATCTTTTTTTTTTTCTTTTATGCCAAAAATCATTAGGATATTAAGTAAAGATCATGTTCCATAAAATATATTTTGTAAATTATCAAAAATGTATTATAATTAGTAATATGCGTTGCGAATGTTTTTTTTTTTTGCACCCTCAGATTTTCAAATAGTTGTATCTCAGAAATGGAAAGCTTATTTATTCAGCTTTCAGACGTTGTATAAATTTCAATTTGACCCTTATGACTGGTTTTGTGGTCCAGGGTAACATATGTGGTTGTAATTATAAAGAATTGTTCCATTCTATCCTAATAAGGTTTAGGTACTTCCACTGTTTGCTTTCTACATTGTATGTCAAGTTAAATGCTGAGACAAATAAAAATTAAATTATATTTCAGATTTGTTGGACACTTGGCACTAGTTAATTTCAGTTTATCAGTTGGCTAGATAAGCACATACTTTAGAACGTCAAAAATAAATAAATCACAGCAGTTTTGCGAATAGTTTGGACATTTTATGCATTTTATATATTTTATACATTTTATAAGACTCCTATACAACGTTTTAGTATCATGCGAGGTAGTTTAATGATGATAAGCTTTTGTATTTCTGGAATTAACAGTTAAAATTGGGCTCTATGAAAAGAGAACATTTATCATAATGCAAGCGTTCCAAAACAAAACCGCGCGTTATGACCATACACTGTATAAAAACAGGTTATGACACATTTCGATTGCGACGCAACAACGGCACGTTCGGCCAATCAGAGTGGAGAAACGGGACACAGTGAATCACAGTCTCTTTTCTACAGGGAGCGGGCCGCCAAATTCAAACATCCATATACGAAACAAAGTAAAGGATAGTCCGATTTCATAAGACTTTGCGGTTTGAAAAAAGGACGGTAAGTTTTAACTTTAAAGTCGATTAAATGTAATAGTAAATGTAATTTCACGTTATAGACCTGTTTGTGGATTAAGTAATTTATTGTCTTTATTGCACGGCTTTGCGAGTTAACTTTTCTGATGATCACTGTGTTGTGCTCCTCTGTTCTAAACTCTGCTCAGCGTTAAAATATAGGAGTAATGTTTAGTTTCATTTTATTGCTTTTTTCTTTTACAAATATAAAGATTTTCGGATTTGTATGAGTTGTTTATCATTTCAAACTGAGGGGAAGCACTTCGTAAACACTTGCAGGGTTGCCACCACCACAGTCTTGGAAAAACCTCTGGAAATTGAAAGGGAGAATAAAATCTTTCAAAGTCACAGACACTATTCTGTCTAATATAATCTATTTTTAACACACACACACACACACACACACACACCAACAACAACACATCAACAAGACAACACATATACTTTTACAGTTCAGTATTGTTAAAATTATATATTTTTGCAAACAGGCATTTTTCATCTCTCTAAGATCTCATTATGACGTCCACGATTGTAAGCGGGGTCTGGAGGTCGCATGCAAACCTCGACGAGTCAGAGCCTGACAGCTCGCCCGAAGCGCCGCGTCAATTTAAGAAGATAACGTTACGCTCCTCCAGCTCGCTGAACTCACTGAGAATGTCTCTGCGCAAGCGGCTGCCCTTGAAACCAACGCAATCCAATGTCAACATCTCTGAGAACCCCACATGGGAGTCGCTACAGATGAACCAAAAGACCAGTGCTGTCCATAAAATTACCCGCAGTGCTAAAAACTCCATTGGAAGCGTCTATCAGGTGTGCTTTGTTTTCTTTGAAACCTTGAATGCAAATTAATTCAATCATTTGTTGTAGTTATTCATGTAAGACAGGTGTTTAAAATATATATTTTTATCTTCTAATCAGAGGTTTCAAAAAAAAAGCTGGTGCGAATGGCTGCACTCAGCCCCTTTGCATCACCCAACACAATGAACAGCAGGAGGTGAGACTGCACATCTGCACTTAGACATCACATTTTTGCTTGTTAAACTGATTTGTTTAGTTTCCCCATGAAATCATTTGACGAGAGCATTTTTGTTCTTAGTAGTGACATATTTCTTTGTGACAGGAAGTTTGGGTGGGACATGTAGAAGGGGTCAAACCTTTTCTTTTTTTTTTTTGCACCATGATTTGCAACTAAATAATGATAAATGTTTTTTCTCTTTTTTCCCCCACCCGGAAAAGAATGATTATGTTCAGTAAGACATATAATATAATATAATACTATATAATATATGTTATATAATAATATAATACTACCATATTACTCATACTGTTACTGCGATATTGTATGTATACTGTGCACAGTATTCAAATTTCTGCATGCATGAAATACCCAGATGATTGACTGTATTTGCTAAAATATGCAGTATAACGACAGAGCACACTGTAGAATACTGGATCCCAAAATTCTCTCTTTTAAAAAAAAAAAAAATCATTATGATTATGTTAGCCAAATGTTTAGACATTTACACAAGATAGAATAAAAATGAAAGTTTTTTTCAAAAGATTCAGTGTTATTTTAGTATCACTGAGATACTATTATAGTTGTTATTAATATTTTGAATTATTTTTTATTGTTATATTTTCGTTTTCATTTTAAAGTTTTAGTATTTTTTGTTTTCTGTTTTGTCATTTTTATTAGTTTCTTAATGTTTATAGTTTTTATTATTTTTGTACATTTTAGTTTTCATTATTTTCGTACATCGTTAAACTAAATTAACTAGTTGAAATAAAAACATTTTATATATTTTATTTCAGCTAACAATTACTTTATTTTAAGTAACGAAAATGTTTTTATGGTTTAAGTTTTTGTTTTAGTTAACTAATAACTCCAAGCTGAATTTGCCATTATCAAACACTCACTTAACATTTGATTACTTTCACTATTAATTTAATAATATTATGTAATGCAATCATTGGCAAATCTCAAAATGAATATCCATTTTTTAATACTGTACAGTATGTTGTAAAGCCTCAGTTCACTTGTAGCATTTAAAGTAAGTTTAGTTTTTAGTGTTTTATTTTTAATTTATTTTTATAAATGGTATAACATTTTTATATCGGACATTTATCAGTTATTGGTCATAACATGAAAATAAATATTCGACTAACAGAAATTTAATATTGCTGCCTGTCCTTCCTGCTTCGGAGTACATTAGCATATAGATGACCTTAGTGCAACAAAACATTAGGGAAGACAGTGACGGTCAGATATGACCGTAACACATGGTATCACATAATGGTCCTCTCTATCCTGTGACAGGCAGTTTGATGAGGATCTGGATTGTGTGTCCAAAGGCCTCCGGAGGCTGAAGGGTCTCTCTCAAGCCTTTGATGATGCGATTGGGAAAGATGATCGGTGAGTACAACAGAAGCCCAATTCAATTCTCACTCTGTAAAGAAAGAGAAAAGAATCACCCCACTGTTTGTTTTAATCATTACATTTTATTAGCTTAATAGCTGTCATTTTGTGACATGGGGTGAAATGTTGTCAGGGCTCGACATTAACGCTTGTCAAGGACAAGGGAATGGTTTGGACGGGCAAGTGAAAGAGAAATTTACTTGCCCAATCGGACAAGTAACTTAAAAAAATGTAAATCCCAAAAACAATAATAACTGCCTTTATTTGTGATATAGCAATTGTTATAGGGGTGTGTTATATATATATCGTTTGCGATAATATCGTAATTGTTGTTTTAACGATGTGCGACTTGACATTATCGAGTATATTGCAAAAATCAAACAAAACACACCTACAGAGTGCACGCATACATTAGGCCTACATAAAGAAGTCTAGTAGGTTAGACTAGTGAACGTGTGCATTCTTTCACTGCATGTTTCAGTATTAAAATGCATGAAGAATGATCAGAAAATTCAAGATATGGTAGCAGAAAATTTATATATTTATATCATTTCATATAGTTAAACAATATCACACGAAGATCGAGCGCCGTTTTTTTTTCTCCAAAAATCAGCATGATTACAAATGTGATTTTATACAACAGTTCAATAAACAAGAAGTTAATATTAAGAGACTTATGTTTTAGACACCATATTGCCTGTTTTTGTTCTATTTCGCCAACAGAAATAATTCCAAACACAGCCACAGTTTTGTGTCTCTGAGCAACATGACGGTGTTTCATTCCTGAATGAGTCAACCATTTAATTAAATGATTAGGTTCAATCACAATGACTCACTTATTAATAGTGACTTGATGCCACCTACTGGCGTTTTAATTTCACATTTAATTTTAATTTCACATCACTTTTTTTTTTTTTTTATATATAATTTCAAATATCAGTATTCAATGTTTTATGTATCGAAACATTATTTATTAATTTGTAACTGCAGGTTAAAGAATTCCATGTCCCACAGAGCTGCATTAAAGGGTCATGAAACCCCCTGTTTCAGCACTGGTTAGTTCTCACTACAGTTTTAAAAAATGCTAAAATAAAAGTGGGAGTGGTGCGCAGCGGAGGGGGAAGAGGGGAGAAAGACAACACACACAGCTTCGGGTTCAGACAGTTTCATTTAACTCCCATCAAGTTAAAAACACAAATTAATGCACAGCCATTTGCACTCTGCATCGAAAACTATATGAACGCGCTGTCACCTCTGATAAATT